GGCGGAAAAACGGCGAAACTTCCGGCGAACACCACCGCTTGCTCCGGCGACCTCGACGGAAATCAACAACAGCAATCTACTCTCCTCATTCTCATGATTCTAATGGGATAAATTTTAGAAAGAATGGTGCAGATTTGAATATTTTGAGTGTTCTTTATATAGAGTTGATGAAGGAGAAGAGAACATATGCTGCGTAGGATTTCCAATGCTGTGAGTTCATTCGGTGATAGTGGAGGAGGAGGCGCCGTTCTCTGATTGGGACTAATTTTGGTCCCAGTCGGGGTACACTTTTTGGTCCAACTTTCTCCGAATTGAAATCCGTTTACACCGTTGCGATGAGACAGTCAAACTCTATTTAATGATATAATTTTTATATTTATTTGAAATACTTTTTCTGACAGCATATTTTTGGGGGTTGACTTTGACAGAGTCAAAATTGAATTAATTGATATGTAATTAAAATTAGTCTCATATTCAATCAATATTATTAAATATAAATACTTATTTCAATACATCATTTTACAAATGTTCACATCTTTGACTTTTTCTCATTTTTATACAAATTACATATTTAAAATGTCATAACTGAACTTCTGTACATCAGATGTATTCATAAAATATACCGTTGGTTTCATCTCTTCAAGACCTATCCATAAAAGTCAATCTTAACAAAAATTATTGACTCTAAAAATTCCTTCATTTTTGGTCAAACATAGAAATAATGCTTTGTTGAGTCAAAATATTGTTTCTAAAAATACTTTTATAATACAATAACTTTTAGACTATGTTTTGGGGCGTTACAGCGGATCTCTTTCTCACCTAGAAGTCTATAAATGACTTTTTCCGGAATTGTCAGCGAACAACCGGATGCCTCAAGAAAGACCGGAATTCTCAGAAGCAGATACGTGAGATAAGGACTTAGAAAATTATCTAAGTCTTGAATGAAGAAATTCTACCCGTTGGTAAGGAAAAATCAATCTCTTGATTTTTAACGGCTAGATTGAGGATATTTAAGCTGATTCAAGAACAAATGACTTGAGGACAAAGTCTGGACTTCTCAAATTGAAGAGCTCGCCCAGAATTCCTAAACAAGCACTAGAAGACAAACTGAGTAATTCACTCAATAAAGAGCTACAGTTCAGAATTCTTGAACAACAGCTAGAAGACAGATTCTGTGGAAAAAGGAATCCCTCCTCAAATAATTGGGTACGTCCAAACTCCCATTCCAATGAAAAATCCTCAATCACAATCTTTATTCAAAATTGAAGCCAGTTAATGCAACGGATAGTCTATTTTGATTCAACGTATAGATTATCCAATCCAGCTATAAATAGCTTCCTTGGAAGACCGGAGAAACATACCTGATTGATCATCAACCTAACATCAACAAGAACAAAAGCTATCTCATTCACAGTTAGCCAAAAAGCTTGATAAAGAGAGAATTCTAAAATCCTTATCTAGAAGCAAACTTCTCCTCCTTCCAAAGAGCTATAGTGTAAACACTTGAAGGTTTCCTTGCCTCAAGTACAACACCTCGTTGAAGGATACATCTTTTAATCAAACTTCTTGATTAAAAAGGGGGTACATCAACTTTCCTACAAGTTGATCTTACAAGTCCTATTGTTCGGATCTTGCAGTTGTTGAAGAAGCTTGACCTTCGAAGGAACAACAAAGCCAGCACGTGTGCAGTAGCAACATTGGTCTTGCAAAGATATACCGTGCAGAAATTCATACAAGTGTAATTGTTGGTTCATTATTCAACAACCAACTACATAGTGGATTTTGAGGATGTAGAAGGATTACCCCACCTTCGAACCTCGTTAAAGTTTGCGTGTCTCTCTCTTTTATCTTTACTCATACTTGCAATTATATTAACTGTGAAACTAACCATCCATATTGATTACTGCTCTACAAACCCACCAACTTCCGCACACAATCCAAGGTTCACAAGAACTCTAGATTAACACTCATTTTCACGTTTTCAAAAGAAACGAAAAAGTCTTTAAATCGTAACAAAGTCTATTCACCCCCCTCTAGACTTTGTATCTCACCACTTTGGGACCACCATATACCTTCCCTTGCTAGGATCCTAACGGAGTTTGTTTGATCAATAAAATCATCGATAATAATTTTCAGAAATAACTGAATCGCATCAATCATTTTGTGGTTCACATAGAGAAGCTCAATATAATGTTCAAGTCAGGGTACTTTTACCTTTGTGACCGAGTCATGTAGTTCACATAGTGTAGTTTTCGAAGATTGGTATCATAATACATCTTTTGGGTCTAATGGAAAATCATGAGTTAGGACAAGTTTTCCATGGTTCATTATTTTGATACAAGTAATGGAATTCAATCATTTCAAGATTGATCAAGTCGGTTTTTCCAAGTGCATAATTTACACAACAAGTTTGAGTAATTCAAGGATATGAGTCACAAGATACGAATGTAGCGTTTGCGAATTATCATCCCGTATATTTTCATCCTTTAATGTTTCATTCTTTAGAAGTTACTCAAGGTGTCATTGTTTTAGGGAATTAGCCACTTTTGACTTTTTGTCTCGGACTCAAACGTGTTTCAGGACAATGAATTTAACTATTCATGAGTCTCGATATGTCATATCATTAGTAGACTCTAGTATTGGCGAGTACGTGCTTGTCTATAGGCAATCAAACTTACTATTTTAGCAAATCCACTTTTTTGTACGCATTTTGGCTGGTGATAATTACCTTTCCATCAATGCCAGTTTTAGAGGCTATATATATCACGATTGTGGTAAGAGTATCTCACATCATGGAAGGAACTTCTCGAACTCTTCCTTACACCATATAATCGATTGGTCTACTTGGTAGAAATCCAAAGTTCAAAGCTATGGCGGTAGATCTAGGAAGGGAAGTAATAATGCAAAAAACTATACTTACTTATGGAGGAGGCAATGTTGGCCTTCAAGGAGTTGTTGCTTCAACAGTCTATACCAATGGTGGTATAGTCAGAGGCTTCATACCATGGTACATAGCAACACGACAGGTCTACGGACCTACATACGCTGTAGAGTACATGGTTTCCAGCAACTACTATAAGTATTTTGAGAAGAATCATGTTGTGGAGGCTTTCATCGTACTTCCTGGAGGAGTTGACACTATCGAAGGCTTGTTCACCTTAATCTCGTGGGCATCTGAAGGGTTGCACAGTAGACCCATTAGTCTCTTAAACATTGACGGTTATTTCAATAACCTTCTCATATTTCTAGATGATGCGATGAGGCAGAACTTCATGGCTTTGAGTCAGAGAAAACTTTTAATTTTTTCTTTCTTTATTGATGAGCTTTTAGACAAACTAGAGTTTGCTAAAGCTTTCCTGGGTTCTGGGGCTAATTACGACGAGTTTGCAAATCCTGGGAGGTTAGACTTAAAATTGTATGTGTAACGTTTCTTATGTAATCAAAGTTGTATTTGTGTTGGAATAATATTGTCCATGAATATTCTAAGTTAGCCACAAACGTTATTCTAAGCTACATGGCCAATTCAAGTCAGAAGAATATTTATTTCCAACATCGGAATGTATCATGTAAATATCAAACA